TTAGCCTTTACTGAGCTCTGCACTACCACAGCCATGTTGTTATTGGAACCCAGGCTAGTCTGTGTCAAGATAGCTTGAGCATATCCACATCAGCTTTAGACATCCCTGTGGCCATATTATAAATGTACCCTCAGTGGAATTATCTTTTTTACTTAATAAAGTTTTCTTATACAGGCAGTCCTCGCACTTACAGTGGGTTATGCTACTGGAAAGGGCGCTATAAGTCAAAACGATGAAAGTCAACTCTGATTTTCCCATAGAAGCAATGATATAATAGCAGGTTACATTCCTGACCAAGGGCCTGATGCCCATCTTTTTATAGAAATGACCATAAACACCATATTTAAATCAACTATTTAATCAACTATAAATGATATACAATGTACAGTACAAAGCTTTCTAAAGTGTACTTTATATAAATCGATTAAATGGGGCAATGCAGTAACTAATCACATAACATTTTATTTAATCAGAAGGTGAAGGAACACCTTCATCAGGGTCCTGGAATTCAGAAGGGCTTCTTTGGGGAGACTTAGGGCCACTTGATGGTTTTTTGAGAAACTGATCCAGGGATGTTTGTTTTGCTGCCCTCTTTTTCTCATTGTACATTTCCCTGTAGTGCCATAAGTGCGAGGATCCAGTGCCATAAGTAATAACATGGGTGGACATGGTGGAGCGCCGAAAGTGCAAATTGCCATAAGTCGAAACGCCGTAAGTCAAAGACTGCCTATATTTCCAACTCATTTTGAATATTGGGTTTATTTTTTTTTACTTAGTTATTTGACATGTATTCAGGGCAAAGATTGCTCTGGGAAGGTGCACACATCAAGAGAAACTATAGCTATTCCTATGGGTAGTATGTAGCAGCTGCTCAGGATTGGCTGTTCCATTCTTCAGCAGAGGCAACCTGACAGCAGAGACTCAACTAGGGCTTACTTACAAGACTCTGGGGCCAGTTTTTGGCCTTTCCCCAAATAAGCAGGACCTTTAGGATAAGACTGATCATCCACTGCAACCCTGGGCATGTGGAATGCCCCAGGGGACTCCACACCCCAAATGGGAGGGTGGGGGTGAAGGGTGCACTCAACTATGGCTGCTGTCTGTGCCTGAAATCTAACCGGGCCACAAACTGAGTTACCAAGCATGTATGTATCTTATTAGTCACAGCTGCTAATAGAATACTTACCAGTTCTTCTTGTTCCTTGCCCAAGTTATCACGTTGTCCTCATCTTATCTGGATTTATTAGTCAACTTATCCACATCCCTTTTTAGCAGATTTTAGGTCATCTGTTTCACTTTATGAGTAGAGTTGGTTGACATGGTTACAGTCAGTGTCACAGGCAGGGTCCTACAGGAAGGTCGTGATCTCCTTAAGGCCCCTTCCCGTGCCAAGTTGGCCCAAGGGCATCCTCAATTTCTTGCCTGCCACGTCTTTGATGTTAAATATGTTAGGGAGGCTGCCTTTTCCGCCCTCTTGGGCATGTCTTGCTGTAGTCTCTGCCCTGTGGACTCCCGAACCCCTCGTGGGTCCCGCTCTCCAAATGGGTGCTTCCAGGGCACCCTAGCCTTAGGGGCTATGCATGGCTCCAACCACCCCTTATACCATGCCCCAAGCCTTGCAGCTGGAATGGACGTTGTTCTGCCGAGGTCTACAATCTCTCTGGTGCTCGGGCCCTTGGTGGCCCTGTCTCTCTCCGCGTCCTCTCTCTGGGGCCTTCTCCACAATGCTGCCCCTCCTCAGTATTGCCGCCCTCCTCTGGGGCCTTCTCTGTAGTGCTGCCCTCTCTCCGGGTGCATCTGCAAGGCCGCCCTCTCTCTCGGGGCGCATCTGCAAGGCTGCCCTCTCTCTTGGGGCCTCCTTAGTAACACTGTCCCCTTCTCCAGGGTTCACCGCAATGCTTCGCCCGTCCTCAGGGTTCACTGCGCTGCTGTTCCCTTCTCTGGGCTCACCGCATTGCTACCCCCTTCTCCGGGGCTCACCGCATTGTTACCCCCTTCTCCGGGGCTCACCACGCCTGCACTAGGGCTTCTCAACTGCCCCTCTCTGGGGCTGGGGTCTATGCACCCTGTATGCAGTGCCCTTACTGGCGCTGAGGTCCCCACACTGCTGTGGGTCCCCTCTGAGGATACTGCGCCCTTACTGGTGCTGGGGCCCCCACAACACTGTGCCTCACTGGTGCTGGGTCCCCCACACAACTGTGGGTCCCCTATGAGGATGCTGTGCCCTCACTAGCACTGGGGCCCCCACACCAGTGTGGGTCCCCTATGAGGATGCTGCACCCTCACTGGCACTGGGGCCCCCAGACCAGTGTGGGTCCCCTACGAGGATGCTGCGCCCTCACTGGCGCTGGGGCCCCCACACCACTGTAGGTCCCCTATGAGGCCTCCTCCAATCCCTAATAGCCTCACCCAAACCACTGGCCATAAACGGCAACACAAAATACAAGCCAATCGGCTATAACTTAAACAGAAGCCGCCTGGCCATAACAATGCTCAAGCCTACCAGGAAATACTCCCTCCCTTCCGTGAGAGAGCTCCTTCCTCTTTGGCAGCTGGCAGGGAAGTCCTAGCCTGGCCTCAGCCCCTGGGCTTTATAAGGGCCAGGCCCTGCCCCTTCCGGTCAGCTGACCTTCCCTGGTGGCCCCGGAAACCCACAGCTGGGCTCCTTATTCACTCACTACTAGGGTTCCTTCCCTAGCAGTTTCTCCTCCTTAGGAGCAGGGCACCTTAGTGCTCTGCAACAGTCAGTTTATCATTTAATATTGCCTAGTGCCCTGTAGGAATGCTGTGTGCTTACAAGGCCAGAGGTCTTGGATTCAAATTCCACAGGGAATGAATACAGCTGCCATTCACCCCACCCACAACCACCATCACCATCCTGCTGCTGCCAAAATGTGTTCCCAAAGGGCTCCATATCCTGGATTTTGGTGGTAAGTCCTGCCCCCACTTGCCCAGTCCCCAGATTCCTGGTCCTTCCAGGAATCCTGCGGGTTAGTTTCATAGTTTCATAGTTGGTAGGGTTGGAAGGGACCTGAGCAGATCAAGTCGGACCCCCTGCCATGGCAGGAAAGGATGCTGGGGTCAAATGAGTTGCATCTTTGACAACCCTGCCTTATAATGAAGCTCTGTGTCTTATTAGCTTTATCTTTCCAGTTCTTCAAGTGTCCTTGAATACTTGTGGAACTCTGGGGTGTTCTACATGAGGAAACCACTGGGCCAACCAATCACTTGGTGTAATCCACCATGTTCTCTCCTTCAAAAGGAGAAAAAAGTGCTATTCTATGCTTGCTAGGTACCACATGTGTCAGTAGTATTCTGTGGTCTGTGGTAAAAGGACAGCCGATAGGCCTAATAAAATTAGCATGAAGCCATTGTGATGGATTTACTTGTCATTTGTTTTACAGCAACTGTAAATCAGTGCCACTAATACTGTTTGGGACCATAGTAAAACGGGCTATATTTTTAATAACGGATATAGTGATACTCTCTCTGCCTTGGGCAAGTGACTTTACCTTCCACAATCTGTAAAGCAGGCATGATACTCACCCATGCTATATAAACATAAAAAAATGTACTAAATATTATTTCCTCTTAAAGTGATTTTTCCATTAGGCTATGACCTGAGTTTATTTACTTCAAACTGTTCGCGATTTTTCAGCTAAATTCTAGAAATACGTTGGTATGTTATCAGTCTGGAAAGTGCATGGAGATATGGCAGTTTGTTGAACTTTGTATAGTTCATTAGCAAAAAAAAAACTTTCAGAGACAGGCTGGCCTTCTGGTCAAAATAATACACAGTGACTGAATTCTGGGTACATTTCTCCCACAATCCTTTGTGACCTGGGCCAAATTATTTAATCTCCTTGAACATCACTTCCAGGAGTCAAATTAAGAGAAGAGGATTAGTGATATCCTTTCTCCAACCAATGCTCCTGTCACCAAAAAACTGAGATAATACAATGATGGGGAGATGTCAGCATGACAGGCATAGCCTATGCACCCAACCAAACAAGCTAGGGATGATTTTCATCAATTAGAGAGTAGGTAGCAAATCAGTGTGGCCCTGGCTGGAAGACTGTATCCAACAAATGGAAACAGTGGAGCTGTTGTTTTACCCTTTACTCAAGAATAACGCCTCCAACTGAGTGAAGTAGTTGCAGGTTTATAATGTGGAAACAACTCTTTTTATTTTACAGAAACTTATATAAAACTATTTATAGTACAGAAGTAACAGTTTGTTGTTTCTTTTATGGCTGCTCTGCTCCTGTTCTGCCACCTGAATGCTGACCTCATTCACAATGTTACAGTATAACACACTCCCTGGACACTCTGGGCACATTCCCACATGCAGAGGCATACTGTTGTCATGACAAAAATAGCAGCAGCACAAATTTGTGCCACTGCTTTTTGCTGCTGAGCATGCCCCTTCACATGGGGTTGGCGTGGGGCAAATTGTCTCTGATGGGGTAGGGGAGGCTTAACTGGGGCCTGGGGGCCTCCTGGGGCAGCAGCTATGATGATCCAGCTGCCCAGAGCCTGGCTGGTGGCCAGAGCATGGCTATGGCTGGCCAGGCTCTGGTTTCTCGTGGTGCACACTGCTGCCATGTGTGCTGCGCCACACCACTTTTTTTTCAGCAGTGGGTTTTTTTGACACCAGGATCTCCCAGCATCAAAAAAACTGCACTGAGGTTGATAATTTAATGTAAGTTTTGATGGCATTAGAGGGATTTCCTTCATGACCACATTGGTTCTTGGCAATGAGTACACAAAGGGACAAAAATTGGAGAGGTAACTACAGCAGTTTTGTAAATAACAGTTCAGAGGAGTGCAGCCATAGTTTGCTATCAGTTATTTTTGCTGATTAATAAGTAAACTTTTTTACCCAGTGAACTGGGAACTGCTATTGGGTAACTCACTGGCACCACACAATATATAACGTTTTGATGCTTAGCTATAAATCAGCTCCAGGCTAGAAACCTGAACAACTGCTGCTCTCTGAAATGGAACTCCTGGGAACCACAACTGGTTTTCTGGCTGTTTGTATCTCTTGTCTGTTTTTTTTTTCAGTATGGAGAATGATATCAAGCAACAGGAAGCTGCCACCTGGTCCCATTCGACTTCCTATTGTAGGGAGCACACTGCAACTGAGCATTAAGGACTTACCCCAAACTATGGAGAAGGTAAAAGCATGTTCCCTTTATCAATCACTTTGTTGCAGGTAGACATAAACAGAGCTCTGGGTAGGGGAGAGCACCACCTCCCTTGGAAGCCCATTCCAGACTTTGGCCACTCGAACTGTGAAGAAGTTCTTCCTAATGTCTAGTCTAAATCTGCTCTCTGCTAGCTTGTGGCCATTATTTCTTGTAACCACAAGGTCACCTCTCAACCTTCTCTTGCGGAGGCTGAAGAGGTCCAGGTGCCCCAGTCTCTCCTCATAGGGCTTGGCCTGCAAGCCCTTAACCATACGAGTGGCCCTTCTCTGGACCCTCTCCAGGTTCATAGATTCATAGATGTTAGGGTCGGAAGGGACCTCAATAGATCATCGAGTCCAACCCCCTGCATAGGCAGGGAAGAGTGCTGGGC